TTCTTTGACATCTGGAGTTGTAAAATCTTGCAACTTAAAATTTACTTACTTCCCGTTTTCCCATTGAGCTGAAATTTTGCATGTCTACACAGGCATGCAAAATTTCGTTTCATTTCGCACTAAATAATTTAATTTACACGTGTTTTCATGCGATGGCCAAGTCAATATACAGTGTGAGTCACGTTAAAGTGTACATATGAAAATAGATGAAACTAGACCTATTTTTATCGACAAAAAATAGGTCAAATTTTTTTTGAGATTTTTTTTTTATTTTTTATCGAATTTTTTTTCTTCCAATTACTTATTGTAAAGAAAACGTAATAACTTTTAAACTAAGCGGTATATCCTGATAAAATAAAAACAGTAATAATGCTAAATAACAGGCAATACTAAAAAAATACATAAAATACACAAAAAAGGCTAACAAATAATAAAAAATTATACTTTTCGAAAAAAATCTGCTTAAAAATTCGTGTTTTTTTGGTTATTTGATAAATTTCTCCAAAAAATGCCCCTATAACCGGTGGTTTTTATTACTTTGTATTATTTTCTATCGTATTACCTTCGTAAAAACAAAAATCGCATGTCTCTATCCCTATCACAACGTTTGCAATGATTGTTTGAACTAAGCCTCTCCGGGCGCGCCATTCAACGCTTCGTTAAGAACGAAATTGAAAATGGCTCTAGATTTGTAATTTTGATAAAGACCAGTTAGATTTCAAATAAAAACTAAAGATTTCGAAGTAAAATAAGCATTTTAGTTAAAATTAAAATTGTCTCTACCTGTAGCGGAGAATAATGTTGTGGCAGGCCTTTGTTCAAACGATCATAGCAAATGTTGTGATAGGGATAGAGACATGCGATTTTTGGTTTTACAAAGATAATACGATAGAGAATAATACAAAGTAATAAAAACTACCTGTTATAGGGGCATTTTTTTGAGAAATTTATCAAATAACCAAAAAAATAAGAATTTTTAAGCAGATTTTTTTCAAAAAGTCTCATTTTTTAATATTTGTTAGTCTTTTTTGTGTATTTTATGTATTTTTTTAGTATCGCCTGTTATTTAGCATTATTACTGTTTTTATTTTATCAGGATATACAGCTTAGTTTAAAAGTTATTACGTTTTCTTTACAATAAGTAATTGGAAGAAAAAAAATTCTATAAAAAATTAAAAAAAAATCCCAAAAAATATTTGACCTCTTTTTTGTCGATAAAAATAGGTCTAGTTTTATCTATTTTCATATGTACACTTTAACGTGACTCACACTGTATTTATGTAAAACGTTAATGATTTCCTGGACTGGACTTGGTATTACATGGATCTCACAACTTTTTACCGTAGAACAACTGAGTAATGAGACTTGGTTTTTTGACAAGTATTGTTTTTGATGGGTTTGTAATTGTATTAAAGAACGCATGTGTACCTAATGGGATAACTGTTTAAAAACACGATTAGATAAATTTTGCTCTATGGTTAAAAATCTTAAAGTTACCTCTGATTTTTTAGCATTATACGACCGTGGTTTATAATAATAAATTCTATAAAATCACAATGATATCAGTATTTACCTCTTTGATTTCCTGACTTGTTTAGATTTACAAAAAGTAAATATTTATTATTAACTTTTAGATAATAATTTGAATGGCGCTTACGATGTTTAGTTACGAGCTCTTTGATGGACACATATATTATCTATAATATCTGATATACACACTACTGCGTCTTGGCCAATTTCCCGCGCAGAGTGCCTGCGTGAATAGAGGGCGCTTTTGTCGATGCCGGATGTCTCCGATTTTGCTTTAATATTNATGGTGTTCTCGACTCATGCCCTGGACCCGATGAGAGAGAGAGTTTTGGAAGGCCAAGTTGGTCTTGACGGCGGCGGCAAAATTTTGCATATTAAAAATTTATTGACTGGAAACAAAAGTAAAGATAAAAAATTCAGAAATTATTACAGGACAATCTGGTATCGGTTTCATGGCAAACTCGAGCTAGCATTGGTACACAAAATTAAAAATATTAAAAATGTTGGTAAAAACTTACTGCTGTCGTNTGTAAAGACTGGTTCGTAATTTAATCAATATTGTCCACAGTTAAATTTAACAGAAAGATCAAAGTTACTGAATTACTAGCTAGAGACGCCTAGACTTAATAAATTGGGAGCGATTGACGAATTTGTGAACCACGCCCAGTCACCACCACGTCCAAAACCTATCTCTACGTTCTAGGGCTCTGTACCTGAAGTTTTTGTAAAGCTATTAATCCATCAAAACTGCACTTGAACGGGTCCACAACTACGTCAGGCAACATGGAGATTTATGTCACCTTCGTTCCCAGGCGCGCACTTAACTCTGGCATAAGAGCTTTGGCGCTGCTTAAAATTCCATAGCAATAAACTAGCTAACACATTGAAAGTGTTGTGAGAACTATAACATTAAGTTATTTAATTTATTGCGCCCCGCGCGCCGACATATAGATAAAAATATGTAATAGATATAAGAAAATTGTATTAGAAAATAAAGATAAGTTGCATTTTTGAAAAGAAAATAGAAAACAAAAAAGAAAAGAACAAAAAGATAAAAACCCCCAGAAAAAACAAAATCCCTGAAAAATAAATAACAGGGGAAAGCTGAAAAAAAAAAAAAAAAAAAAAAAAAAAAAACCTTTTTTTTTTTTTTTTTATTTTTANTTTCACATAAGTCCCGAATATCGCTGAGCGGGCGCCTTTTTGGCTCGGGATCTTTACTGGTCTGGCTGGTTTATTTTACTGTTTTTTATTTTTTTTTATTTTTTTTTCTTCTTTATGTACTTTTTTACATTTGTAATTGTCATTTTTTTGTCCCGTGCCAAATAAAGATTTTTTTATTTTATTTTATTTTATTATTTATATAAAGTTTAAAAAATGGCACGCTCGTTTTCATACATTTCATTCTATTTATTTAACCTATCCATATTTATGTGCGGAAACGTCACAAAATCAGAATAAATTTTAATTTTTCCATCCCGCATCATAAAAACTAAAAAGTCAAAAGTAAAATTTAAATAGTAAATATTTTTCACAAACAAGCTTTTGATGCTGTAAAAAGAATAAAATAAAACATAAATTCTTTTAAACCCATCAACTTATTACTTTACTCAATTTAAAGATTAAAAACATTTCGCGGGATTTACTAGTGTAAAAAATAGATTAATTACGTAACTTGATTTTGCTAAAAGTCTGATCTGAGAAAAAATCAAATAGGTAAATTATACATTATTTCTTTATTATTATGTATGATGTACTGTCTTAGGTACGATACAAAGAACTACGGATTAAGATCGTTTAGTCGACGCAGCGTTGAAATTGTACAGATAAATGCAGTTTGCGCACTCACTACGCGACGTCAAGCAATAAAAACCTAAAATTCGAACGCCAAATTTTTGCTACAACGCTCTTAAGTACTTTTCGATATTCAAAAATTTTTATTAAGTCCGAGTTTACAATGCAAAAATGCATTTTTTTTTGTTAAAAAGGCAATAAAGATCATTCATTTAGATTTTAAGTAACTAGGTATCGTATATTTTTTGGCATTAACTTAATTACCCCAAGTAACGATCGAATTATATAAAAAACGGAAAGTTAAAGCCGAATTACTTAATTTATAAACATTTAAATTCGACTTCACTTGCGCAGGTGCCTGTACCGATACACAATTTTCAACAGTTATTATAATATAATTAATAATATCTTGTTGTCGTAATTAACATAATTTGACGTTAATCTTGATTAATCGATCGTATCAAAGTATTAAACATAATGTATTTTTAATTAGTTAGAATATGTTAAACTTTGCATGACTGTTTACGAACCGTTATTCTTACAGAATAAGGTAATGATAGTCCATTATCTATTAGCTATTGTCTGTGTTAAGATTATTAATAAACGAAAACATTTTCTTATTAATAACTGACAAGATGAAAAGAGAAAAGACTATTGTACAGCAGCAATATTAGATTAACAGCGCAACAGTAGTTCAGCAATTACTGACATCGTACGTAATATGGAAAATTCAATGACAAAACACCTTAAAGGGCTTAAAGCATAGCGGTGAAATGATTTCTATACTTTCACAACGATTTCCATGTAAATTGGCTACTTGGGCCGCGATACTAAATCGGGCGGACGTCTTAAATGGTTACAAATTATGAAAGCAGGAAGATATAAAGGAGACTAGCCCTAAGACTACTTAAACAAGGATTAAACAGAAACAAGAAAGTTAGACGTAACAAATTTCACTAATTCGACAATTATTACGATAATGTCAGCGATAAAATTAATAAACTACCTCAGGGTTACTTAAGACTGAAATCACATACCTAAAATGAATATTTACAATCAATAAAACAGCAATTAAAGGCTAAACTAGTTCTTATTTTATGGCCCGGAACGGATTAGAACAAATATTAAGTTTCATACCGTTAAATAATAGTGGAAGTTAAATTAAGTAGGCTTTAATTGGACTGCCAAACATTCCTGTGAAGATGATCAGAGAGACATTTTAATGTTTCGAGTAAAGTTGTGAGAATACTCGATAAATTTCCAAGCACTTGACAGCCCTACGGGCTGGGGCATTCTTACTCCGTAAACCAATTTGTTGCGACTTATTGGGCGTTATTATTATGATTTGCCTCTGACGTGATCGGCTTCCGATGAAAGTTGTTAATGGACTCGAAAACTTGCTTATTATGTTTGTACTGGAATTTTATATCTGTAACTTTAATTGGCGCCAACAGGTGTAGCCTTATTTACGACGTATCAACTGTGAACTAGCTTATTAGAGCAACACGCAATAAAATTTACAACTGCCCACAATTTCCTAACCATAAAATAATTTATCAAGATTACACTGCGTCTAGATTCTCAATTGCTAAATCGATTGCCTTTGCGATTATTGCGATGATCTAAATTTAAAAAGATAACTGTCAGAAATAGAGCAATTAGGGATGTCCACTTACCGATGCGTACTCCGCGCAGATGTCGATAGAGGTGACAAAATCGCAGACGTCATCGACTGACCACGCCGATAGCCGAGCTCTCGCCTCCGCGCAAAGGCATTCACCTCGCGCTTCACTTCGATCTACGAAAAAAAAATACGATGAAGTAAATTGACCTGTGGCGAATCAACACATATTTTCATAGCTATTAATTTTAAGCACCCACGCCAGATATTGGAAATTGATTGACTTTCATAAACGCCGACTCTTTTTTATTGTTGCACTTACTGTACACTCGGAGAAACATTAAAAACGCGTTAAAAGATCACTTTTGACTCAAAAAGAGGTTGTGATAAAGTAATCAATGTAACACCGGTATTTAGGTGTTTTATTAACTTTTTGCCTTAGGGCATTGACTTCGTTTTCACATTTTAGCGGGATCGCTTAATTGGTAAGTAAATAATGCAATTTTGTACGAACCTTTCCAATTTCGGTGTAAGAAACATAAAAATATCGCAAAAGGCTAAATTGTTAACGGAAAATGGAATGAAATTGACGTTTCATAATAACTGATATGAAGTTTATAAATTGATCGTTACGAAGACCTAAAGTCATGTGAAGATATGACATAATAGTATTTTGTAAAGGCACAAAATAAGGTATAAAAGTGTAGAGCAGTAGATGTGTTATATTTCGATCATGTTTCATAGGTGTTTTTTGGTATCGACTGTTTTTACTTGGTCCTTTCCCTTACCACACAGAGCAGTAGTTCTGATTGCTAAGCTACAGATACATTGGTAAGCCTGCCAAAGTATTATCATTTATTCGTATCCTTTTCTACGCTGTGTTTGCTGTGAAACGCATTTTCTTTGCGTATCAACATCATTTGACGTCTCTCTCATCGCTGCCACTCCTTGTGCTGGGGCTGGCCAGAGAGTCTAGCACCTTCAGTGAATGCTTAAACTAAAGTGTCATATTCTAGGCTATGTCTGCCGTGAGGGCTGTTTCATCAATTTGAAGTCTAAGTCCGCCTGGCTAGCTACCACCATCTTACCGAAGTCTGTCGCCATAATAACAATGTTAACAGCGTTGTTGTGTTCCGGCAGTTAGAGGTAAGATAGCCAGTTCCTCCGTGGTTGAGGATTCCGGGTGAAGCTCGCTTCTACCTTCGGCCTGATCGTCACTTACCATCAGGTGAGATACAGGCCAAGAGATTCCTCGGTGTGGATAAAAAAAATAAAAAAATAGATCACACTTTTAGACATATTATCTTACCATCATTTGACGCCCTGTCCCTCTCGTCGCTGTCGCTTCTTGTGCTAGGGCTGGCTGAGAGTCTGGCGCGTTTGGCGGCGCTCTCTCCCGCCGCCGACAAGTCCAAAGGCGAGTGCTCGGGAGCTGCGCCCGCGCCGACGCGCTTGCGCCGCGACCGGCCGCCGCGACCCACCCGGGATATCGCTAGGAGTGTCTGTGGAAGATAGGGTTGCTGTTTTATGTGGAAATTGTTGTCGATTTTTATCGATTTATCGATAATAATAAAACAGGTTAGATATTTTTAGGGGGAATTGCCACCGCAAAGGTACTCAAACTTTATTCCGTTAAAAAGCTATTATCTGTTCTTAGTTATTAAATTTCTTAGCAGTTACGACAGTGGAGTGCCTATCCCAGACAAAAATAAACAACTATTAACACAGACGTGTTTGCGTAACGGATGTTAAAGTAAAGATAAACCGTAGATACCATCTGAAATATTAGTTAAGCCATGATAACAATAAGTTTGAATACCATGCTCAACGCAGTTTGGCATTTAAAAACTCAATTACTCAGAAGCCCATCAAGTGGCATAGAGTACCAGTGTTAAGCAAACATGAAAGGCGCGCCAGCGGCCATTATCTGATCGAGAGCACTCTCGGATCGTAAGTGGCGAGCATTCATCATAATAACGTTCCGAGCCGTCACGCTCGCCGCCCGCGGGTCAAATTGCAATCTATCTTTTTTAATTGCCACAAGCACTAAAAAGGCGAATGCAGGGTAATTCTGAATAAAATTCAGACGGAGGCGCGCGCGCGTGAAATGAACACGGCGAGCGCGTGCGCGCGCACCTGCTGAAGCAGAGCCACCTCTATAAATCTCACGATTTATTTCCGCCTCGCTCCTGTTTCTCTTTATAGGCGAAAATAAATTTAAATTACTATTTATGGCCCAGACAAAACATAAATTGAAACCGAACTCAATGCGCGGCCCGCGAACTGTAATACCATAAGTGTCATTTACAAAATAGAAACGTTACAAATCAGGTTCAGCGAACCGCGATCACGTGTTTACTGCTGCACTCCGAGAGTCTGCGTTTCTAGATTTTATTGGTAACGCTACGGAATAACTGTGACGGTTGCAATATCCGCATCTCTGCAGTGGAGTGCAAAAAGTCGACTAATTTAGAGTGGAGTTGTTTCGATTTCACATCCCATCACTATCGTGTCGCGGGGCGCATGCGCGGCGCGTGCCGTGGCCAATTAGTGCAGCTCCAGTTCCTTTTACAGTGGAGAGTCGAGTCGGTCTCGCGGGCGGTGGGCGGGGCGCGTTGCCCGCGATTGTGCGCAACGAGCCCGCGCAATTAACACTCTCTCTACCTTATCTAGCTGCCGGAGGAAGTGTAAAGGTCGTGGGCCTTATCAGATTTAATTGCCTTCATTATTACTCGAAAGGAAACGGCCTGCTCACCGCGCATTATGATTTTAAAGAGGCACAAATTAACATAAACGAGCGCCCGATGAAGATGCGCGCCGCGATAACGCGTTATGAATATTACGAGCGTTCGAGACATTTTAATCACAGCCGTGAACTATGAAACGGTGGATGATGTATAATTAAAACAGGAAGGTCAGTGAGCACTTGTGTTCGTAATTAATATGAATTTCAAATGTGCTTCTTTTGAAACGAAAACTTAGCTGACCGTAAATTGTTTCATAGGGGCAGTGGCCTTGTAAGTAACGCACAATGTTACTTAACGATGAATAAGTAATACTGCTCGGAATATTAAGTATTTTTAGTTTTTGGAGGTTAATTTTAATGATCTGTTTTACAATAGCTTACACTGATTATGGACATCCTGCTATACAGCGCACGCAACGCGGGTCAACTGTGAATATGAATTGTGTTCATATTCCCATAGTTTCTTTGGTAATTTTGGGTAGAGCTATCAACAAATTGAGACAAATTTTCTAATAAGCTGCTCAGGTCAATCGTGAAGAAACAGTTACATACGGTAATATTCTTGGTAGGATTTTTAAAAGTATTACTCAAAGTTATCCTAGTAAGGGTAAGGGTTCATCTTTATTCAGCTAATAGTTTTACAAATTCAGGTAGACGCACATTTCAGCAAAAACGCTCCGTTCGACCGAGCGAGACTCATTCAATAAACAAAAGACGTCTGATTCATTACACGTTTGTAATTAATAATTACAACTTTTTATCAAACTGGTCCGAGCCGTAATTTACAATCTGGAAAAAATCATAGAGCGTGCCATAATTGTTATTACACCGAGCAGGTCTTAAGTAGAAGATTAGAACTGTGAGAGGTCATTGCTGTTATGCTGTTGTGTTTTTGGTGGTTGAGATAGTAGCCAACCCTATTACCGCTTGAGAGCGAGGGGTGCAAGTTGGACAATTTTAATATTTTTGTCAACCCTTTGAAACTAGCTTTCCGCCCGCGGCTTCGCCCGCGTGGAATTTTGTCTGTCACAGAAAAACTTTATCGCGCGCGTCCCTGTTTCAAAAACCGGGATAAAAACTATCCTATGTTCTTTCCCGGGACTCAAACTATCTCTATGCTAAATTTCATCAAAATCGGTTGCGAGGTTTAAGCGGGAAAGCGTAACAGACAGACAGACAGACAGACAGACAGAGTTACTTTCGCATTTATAATATTAGTTGGGATTAGAAGAGTCCTGTTAACCCCTCATATGCTTTTGTTACGAGTAGGTTCACCACAACAGTTTAGCGGTGACTGGGTCAAACCCGCGTTCCTCGGATCTCAATTCGGCCAGTCCGACACCGAGATTATTGGCTATTGTGTGACTTGACCTTCACTGGTTGGTTTTTATTGGCGGTCAAGCTGTAGATCCTGCCTAAACAGGAGTTCCAGCGGTGGGAACGAGAGTTGAGAATAGTCCCGTACCGCTCATCTTTGTGACCTCAGTTGCTGCAACTCAAATATAACCTCTTATCCTAGTCACATAGCTTATTACTTACCTTAGTAGAGCTCATGTCCAGCATAACAGGGAAAGCCGGCAGCCGCGGAGGCCCGCCCTGCTGCGTGGCTAGTTTCGTGAAGAGGCCGCCGAGCGGCGCGTCGGTCGCGTCCTGCGCGGGCGACGGCGCCGCGCGCGCCTCCACGAAACCATTCATGCGGTGGAAGTAGCTGGAAGAGAAATGGGGGTTAGAAGACCTCAGAATACTTTTTTTATTATTTAATACTTGGGCGTTCCATAACATTTGAAACTGGGAATAACGTAGTAGAAGTACCGTGTCTAGCCATATTTGCGCCGTTTTTGGCCAAAAAGGTAATCTCTACCCTTTCATCCACGAAGACGCGCCTCATCAATATTTGGTCGAGGGAAGCGCGGGGTGCGGGGAGTTTGATCCGAGCAATCCGAGCGTTAATAAAACGATCTATACATGAGCTACAGTTTGTTTTTGTCTTTACTCATAGCAACATGATAAATGTCGCGTTTGAAGATCTATTAAGTTTTCAGTCTCATCGCTGATGTTATCAGTATCGGCATTTACCGGCGTTTCTTGTAAATAAAGTACGGTAAAAGTCCAAGACAAATAAATAGGCTTATCAAAGATTTCCAATTCAAATTCTGTCGTCCTCAATATCATTGGCTTCTGTTTTCAAAAGCTCAAAGTTCTACTTTTACTCAAACAGTATTATGTTATGTGTGCTTAAACAAAGCTATTGAGCTTATTTGATTTAATAAAAGATTTAAATTTGATTTGAATTTTTTATAGCTTTATTGCTATAACGTTTAAAATTTGAAAAAGAACATTCTTTTTATTTCCTAAACTACACATCGCACCCTTAATAATATAGGGGCACAACTCAAAATTTTTGGTTTTTTACTTTTTGTACTAGAGAGGCACATTTTCGTATGTTCTACAAGATGGCTTTCACAGAAATCGAAAACAATGATCAGATACAAGAGTTCTACATTTTGTGTCCCTTCCANGGCTTTTCCCAAAAAACTTAATTTTGGAGTTGTGCCCATTCATTATTAAGGGTGCGACATAATTATAGCAAGGCAAATCGTTTTTACGCCAATACTATAGCCTTGGAAACGCATTCACGGTTTTCAACAATAAACTGGATTTAGATTGCATTTAGAAGTTTAGGCACAATTTAGGCCTTTTGGTTTCACGTGCTTCGTAAAGTTTAAATTATTTTGTGTTGAGTTTATTTCCTAATAAATATGACAGTTTAGTTACGTTATCTACAGTTATATTTTAACGTTTAGGTGTGTTGCCCATTATATTTAATTGCAATAATATCACTTCTGTTTTCAAATGGACTGAAACAAGGATATTGGTAAATGTAGATAGAGCCAGCTTTTCGAATTAACCTTTAACGAACTGATATATTTATTTGTTTGATAATAATTTACGATCCAATCCAATTATTGAGACATAATTTTGCTCCGAATAGCATAACAGCTAAAGGTGAATTTAAAATAATTACTAAATTACTTCGTATTGTTAATTAAATGGAAGCTGTGAATATCTGATGCCCAATAAAATACAATGTTTATGATTTATTAATTGGTAATGTATCGGAATCAAATTAGTAAAGTTATTGTTATAATAGATTTAAATTGGCCAAAACGACTTCGGCGCTTTCAAAAGCTTTAAATAAGTGTTTTCAATAAAATTTTAATGAATCGCTGATTAATTGAGCTTTTTTAACTTTGATTATAGAAGTTGGTATTGATATGATGAATGAAATTGGAAACACCGTTTATTTTTTTAATTGGGTAACAGTCAGGTGCTTGTTATATAATTTCTATCGCGTTCTACGTTCGATTACCATACGAATCAACAATTTGATGGTGTTTCTTTAATTTGATCGAAACAGATTTTTTGATATAAAGATGGCAATTTACGGCCGATACACACAGGCTCCCCGTCGGCGTGTGTCAAAACAGAACCGGCGCCTAGACGCCTGTGAAGCATCGATAATCCCAATGGCCGAGGTCGAAGACCGAACCGTGATGAGCAATTCATTAATATAACATAAGTTCACGCGGAGAACACAGGTTCTCACGAATCATGTAAATTTGTCGACTAAACGTAACTTATCGAATCGATTAATATGCTAATTGGTGGCCATCACTAGCCGGTCGGTGACCGCGGGTCGTAGTGCTGTGACACCGAGACCGTGTGAACCGCCCAATCGATATTCGGTTACGACAACTATTCGGATATGACAGTGATTCAAAACTTCCTTAGCGGATTAAAAATAATTTAAGACTCAATTGTATGAATATGCATAAAGCCATTTTATTTTAAGTTACGGTGTCATTTTCACGAATGATTACACACGTAGGGTCGGAACTTCGGATCTATTAGCATGGAGATGAAAATTTTAAGTTATGGACATTGTGTATGAATATTTTACATGAATTTGAAATTTTAATCTCGCGTTGGACACAAGTGTCTTCTGTAATATTCAAATATTCTGGATAGTATAAACTAAACAGCGTTGAGTTTGTTAAATTATAGTGATTTCATCAAACTGAGCATAATAAAATATGTAAGTACCATGAAGCAAGGAAAGTCTCATGAATATCCCTTAGTAGCATCATGTAGCTTACCTAAAATTACTAGAAAATATTATGAACAGGTTACCTAATTTATATGAGTACAAGGAATATCCCAGAACCGTAAATAATTATGGCACCTCAGGAGCAAACATGGAGTTGCAAGGCTGTTCAAGAGTATTCTGGGAATGTAGTCCTAGAGCTTGATTAATTTTTTTTACACGATAGATCATTTTTTTAAGCTGGCAAAATTTGATGTACGGGCTATATTCTGAAAGCTATATAAATGAGTTATTTCCAGCTACTAAATACCACTCACTGAACTGAATTTAGTTTCTTGCATTTTCTTCTGAACATAAGGTATTATAACTATAGATTCCGGTAGCCTGATGAAGTCTAGAACTCACTCACAACGAGTGCGTTGTTAGAGTATCCAAACCTTGCACGTTCGCTTAATCTTTGTTGAAGTAGTTAATAGTTAACCTAGGATGCGCGCCTATTGTTTTATCGAGGAATTGTATCGATTTTCGACGATAAGTCCATACATTTGTCGTCAATCAACGATAAGATTATATCGTAGCGCGCATTTTAGGCTGGGCTTTACTACCTATTTAGTTCTACTCACTCGTTGTTGGGGTGCGCGTTGTACCGCGCAGCCAGCGAGCGCATGATGTTGGAGTAGTTGCGCGGCGGGTGCGCCGGCGCCGGCTGCGTTGCGAGGAACGTCCTTACCACGCTATTTTGGATTTTATTACATTGTCTTAAGATCCAAAAATGGTGAAAGATTTTAACTAGCCGACGCTCAAAATAAAAAAAAGAACGCTAGTGCGGGGGACTCGAACTGGCTAATGCCCTGCAGTCTCCTGTAGTCTGATGATGTATACCTATGTTGCAGTTTTTGGAACATCCTTGCCACGCTATTTTGAATCTTATTGCATTGTCTTAAGACCCAAAGAACATAGCTCGTTTGCTACTCACTCGTTGTTGGGGTGCGCGTTGTACCGCGCCGCCAGCGAGCGCATGATGTCGGAGTAGTTGCGCGGCGGGTGCGCTGGCGCCGGCAGCAATATAATAACGCGCGAGCGATAAGGATAGGTAGCTTGGGGTCATTGGACGAAATTCTACGTGCTCAGCGACCGGACTTCGACTTCTACTTTTCTATTTTGTGGTTCTACTCACTCGTTGTTGGGGTGCGCGTTGTACCGCGCCGCCAGCGAGCGCATGATGTCGGAGTAGTTGCGCGGCGGGTGCGCCGGCGCCGGCAGCAATATAATAACGCGCGAGCGATAAGGATAGGTAGCTTGGGGTCATTGGACGAAATTCTACGTGCTCGGCGACCGGACTTCATAGTTCTACTTTTCTATTTTGTGGTTCTACTCACTCGTTGTTGGGGTGCGCATTGTACCGCGCCGCCAGCGAGCGCATGATGTCGGAGTAGTTGCGCGGCGGGTGCGCCGGCGCCGGCTGCGGCGCGAGGAACGTTCTTACTGCGCTATTATGAATCTTATTGCATTGTCTTAAGGCCCAAAGAACATAGCTCGTTTGCTACTCACTCGTTGTTGGGGTGCGCGTTGTACCGCGCCGCCAGCGAGCGCATGATGTCGGAGTAGTTGCGCGGCGGGTGCGCCGGCGCCGGCTGCGGCGCGTGGAACGTTCTTACCACGCTATTATGAATCTTATTGCATTGTCTTAAGGCCCAAAGAACATAGCTCGTTTGCTACTCACTCGTTGTTGGGGTGCGCGTTGTACCGCGCCGCCAGCGAGCGCATGATGTCGGAGTAGTTGCACGGCGGATGCGCCGGCACCGGCAGCAATATAATAACGCGCGAGCGATAAAGATAGGTAGCTTGGGGTCATTGGACCAAATTTCTACGTGCTCGGCGACCGGACTTCATAGTTCTACTTTTCTATTTTGTTTGTGTAGTGCAGGGGACTCTAACTGGCTAACAATGCCCTACAGTCTTCTATAGCCTGATGATGTCCATGTTCTGAAGTTTTTGCCACGCTATTATGAATCTTATTGCATTGTCTTAAGACCCAAAGAACATAGCTCGTTCGCTACTCACTCGTTGTTGGGGTGCGCGTTGTACCGCGCCGCCAGCGAGCGCATGATGTCGGAGTAGTTGCGCGGCGGGTGCGCCGGCGCCGGCTGCGGCGCGTGCGGGCTGCCGCGCTCCGGCGGCGTGCCCGGGTATGACGACGTCGATGGCGTCACGCTGCGGGATCTGCGGAGGGATTGCTGTTGAGACCCTTTGATTTTGAATAGCTAGTCTTAAAAGTTGATTGAAATTGTGTATAGCGAGATGCAGCCTTGAGGGACAAAGGACAAAGGGTCAGCATAACTGACATGTCATTAAAAGTCTGACAGTAAGGTATAGGTGATTGTCCTGAAGCAAAGTAAAACTGGGACGCCTAAAAGCGCTTTTAAATAGCCTATTTGTAGAATATATTTTTTTGCCAGTAAACAACCATATTAATACGATTATCATTTTGCCTATTGATTTATTTGCGATACTACCTTGAGCGTTACAGCTGAATAACTGTAAATTGTTACACAGCTTCCTAAATTGCTGCTGCTGATTGAACCTAAAAAGTTTAGGATCCCAATTTAGCTTTGACAAACGAAAGAATAGTTTTTTTTGTGGATAAGTACAACAATTGTCTAAAAGCTCAACAGATGGTCATTCTCAGCTCTTTGTTTAATGAAAGCTAAGCTCGCTTTTGTTGTGCCCATTTATTATTTGAAGGTCTCTACGTTTATTGTTTTATTTAATTTGTCACCAGGTACCAAATAAACGTTCTTTTTTTCTTTTGTAACATTTAATATCACCTGGCCTTATGTTGCGCGTATCCAGGTACAACCCGCGACCTTTACCGATCGTTGTGGAAATTATTTGGCCAGCAGTGGTCGTCATTAGGCTGAAATGAACGAACGAATCTCACCTGAAGGCTGTGGAATCGTGCGGGCGGAGCCGCTCGCTCTTGATACGGCTGCAGAGGTGCGGGCGCGGCGTCAACTCGTGTTTTTGTATTTAGTTTGTTACCATATAGATACAAAATTTTGATAAGTGGCGACCACGAGCCGGAAGACGTAGTGTGGCAGGCCTCCCACTAGGTGGACCGACGATCTGGTGAGGGTCGCGGGAGGTGCCTGGATGCGAGCGGCGCATAACCGGTCTTTGTGGAAATCCTTGGGGGAGGCATTTGTCCAGCAGTGGACGTCTTTCGGCTGAAATGAACGAACGAACAAACGAACTTTTGGAAAGAGTAATCTCACCTGGAGGCTGTGGAATCGTGCGGGCTGAGCCGCTCGCTCTTGACCTGCGGCTGCGGCGCGGGCGGCGCGGGCGTCGGCGTGGCCGCGTGTTTTTTTATTGTCACCACATAAACGGGAAAATACCCACCTCTCCCAGTTTTATAAAAGTATTCTAACCTGGAGGCTGTGGAATCGTGCGGGCTGAGCCGCTCGCTCTTGACCTGCGGCTGCGGCGCGGGCGGCGCGGGCGTCGGCGTGGCCGCGTGCGCGGGCGACGCCGCGGCATCGCGCGCGCAGCGCCGCGCCCCGCCCCCGCCTCCGCCTCCGCCGCCTTCACCTGGAGACAAAGAGAACAGAGTTTAAGAGTAGGTAGTATACAATTTGGGACCTTTTCTTGAAATAAATACCATGAAACCAGCAAAATCGAGCTAGAACACAAAATGTGTTAAGCTTCAACCACCCATAACAGTTCTTGCGACCTGTCATTTCCCTATGATCGCGCCGGCGATCTGTACGCGTTGGTGTTTTTGAAGCATTATCTAGCTCCAATGGTGACTGAGAGAACTATTAATTTTAATAAGGGGGTTTATTTTAATTGTGGGTTAGTTTGGCGTCGCTGACACTAAAATGCTCTCAGGACCAAACGTTTAATATTTAATTCCGCGTTCCTAATAAATAAATAAAAAATAGATAATGCCTATTTCACCCTTACTTAATATTGGCAGAATCTTCTTCTTCTTCTGCCTTGCCTTATCTCGTTACGCGGGATAAGGGTAATTGGTAGTATAAATTGTTAAAACTCAAATGACCATTCAAAAAAAAAAAAGAAGTAAAGATGCAATGAAACTGTCACTGAGAATTAGCGAATTACCTTTATGCTCGTATGTGCAGAATAGAAATTGGGAAAGCTTGGCTATGTTGCATTTTAATTAGATTGACACTGTGACATACAGTCGTATAAATAAAGGAAATTGTGTGTGTGATTGACTGTAATTAGTGGTGTATATCGATTTTACGAGCAAAAGCCGATGTTAAATAATTCCTTAATTAAGAAGGAAAGTTAGAGTTTAAAGGTTTACATGATTGACCGAATAATAAAAGATAGTGCGACATTTATTTTAACATTAGAAAGTTCGTGTTTTGTAATAATTACGGACCATGTCTCTTGGCCTATATCTAGTGCTTATTATCGCGGGCGTTTGATGTCCATTTAAAGCAAAATATCCATTTTCCAGCGAATTAAAAATGTCATCGTTTCTCCAACAATTAATAACGCCGTAAAGGCCTTCGCGATCCGGTTGTACGTTGTAATGCCCGCAAATGCCTACATTTAACTAGAAATTAACTGATGTGCGACATCAATGATAAGTTACATGCAAGGTGAAGAATAAGACTTTCTGAATAGTTACTAATATTTTCTATTTTTCTTCTAAGAAGTTTGAAGTAGAGAAATAATTTAAAAGTTCCTAAATTAAGTCGGAGAAAACAATGAATTGCACAAAATAGAGGAAAACTTTAACGACAATTAACACTCAGCTTATTAAGTTTTAACGGCCATTGAAAGAAATAGGGAAATCTCTACCCTTTTCTTCACTTCTCTCGTTGACTAGATTGAAAGATAGTCTGTGTAGCTGAGCTTTTCTGCTCTTTTCCTCTTGTTTGGATCATTGTGAGTGAGAGATGTATTATTTTATGTGTAGAGTAAATGTATTATATTATGTTTTGTCATTAATTACCAAAGTAATGAAATTCTCAAGCCTTTTCTCACGTAAATTTATTCACATCCACTATAATTAATTATTTATTAATATTTCTGCCTACGGACCCCTACAAGAGCGTCAAAAGATCATGCGCAGCCGACCTGCGCGTACGCACGACGTTCGCGATAGCATCGCGGCGCGTTTCATCTCAGGAACGCGACGTTACACTTTCCACCAATCACGGAGCGCCATCTTAAGATATAATATATTCATAGTTTATGCACTATAGATCATAGCAAAAGAGTAAAATTGCAGGCCTACATGTGACAGTGATAAATCAAAAGTGTAGAATAATTTTGGCAAGTTAGTTTTTTTATATTGATCGCTAGATCCTGATTTACATAAATTTTAAAATTTACTTTGACTTTTACTTGATTGTAATGAATCTAGCGATATTTCGATTGTCAAAATCATTAAAGACTTTTGGGGGACAGTAAATTTAAATGTAAATAGAGACTACGGTAATGGAACGACCTTAAAAATGCGGCTCGTATTCTTTTTTCGGACGATTCCCTCATTCTTCCAAATCAAGAAACTCTTATGAGCATTCAAGAAAAACATCCTTCATTTTATATAACTTTGCTGTGAATGGAGATGCCGTGGATATTTATTTTTCATTCAGCCTTAAAGGCTAAAGATACAATCTTAAATGTATAATTCAAATAAGGGCTAACTTACGAGATAACTTAACCGTCGGTTCTTTTAAACCATATCACGTCTGCCAACCACGAGGCATACCAACCGCCTTCCGGTATCTATTCGTAGCCAAGGATAGACAGAGATGGCACGTCTTCCACTTCCGTCATTTGTTTGACCTAAGAACTTTGTTTATGATCAGGCTGAATGTCGTGAATCGGAACGCACGAAGAATTTGTTAGTGGAAATTATAGTCTATGGTGTAGTACTTTACGCGGACTTGAGACCCTGCCAATTTGGACAATGATTCCATTTCGTAATATTTTAGTTGCGCCTCAAGCTTTGATACATAACAGCCGAATTAATACCCTTAAAACAATTTGTAATATTGTTTACAAGTTGTATTAACGAGCACTTTGTTACCAAAGGGAGGATCATCAATTAGTAAAACAATATTTGGATTTGAAGGATTGAGACTCGCTGGCTGGTAACTTTATCCTCCTAGTTACATTAACTATGACATTTTGAAGGCAAGAGTGATATGTTCCACCCAAGAATGCATCTATTTAATAAAGCTTATTATAGGTACCTACTTAATATGTTGAGAAGAATAAAACTCTACAAGCAAATATAACAAGATATAATTACCTCTACTACTAAAACAACAAATCATTATTACATCAAATAGCTTTGTCTGATTAAGCCGTTGCTTGACCCAATAGCTAATAGTTATTATAATTTACCATCTACGTCGAACTATCCGATCCATAAAGATTATTACGCACGTACATACCTCAAGTGCCGCACAGTTTATTAAATTAAAACCAGTTCTAAACCCCGATACCTTTTCCTCGTCAGAAATATAATGTAAATATCAAGTTAAAATGTCACAGGTGTTTATCATTTGCTTACGCAAGCCTGTCACTCCGATATTAAAGTTGTGACGCGTAAATCGCTGGTGATATATCGTGTGACCGGAGCTGTTACTTGTCACGGATAACTAAACAGGTAATTAATCAAGCCTATTATGGTGTTGCCAGTTCAACATTGTAATACGATAGTCGCCTTTTTTGTGGCCTAAAGATGACTTTATAGAGCTAATAATTCTGCCTTATTGCCATGTGTAAGAGATAAAATCTACATAGAAATTAAAAGTAATTCATGACGGTTTTTGTGAGCTTTAGCAGATCAGAGTGCCGACGATATTTGCAAACTATGTTTTCAAGAAACGTGTGAACTAGTGGGATCTTGCCTAATGTTAGGCAATGATACTTTCTTTTGCTGTGGGTTGTACCAGTTGTACTTAAAATATTACTAGGGACTCTGAACTTGTCACTGTCAATGTCGATTAAATTACAACTTATAACAACCTTAATAATGTTTAAACTGTATAATCTATGACGCACTACCATTGTTTTTGTTCAAAAATAAATTATCATGATACTCGTAAATACACACATTAACCGCGTAAAAGAACACACAATATTGAATAACACGACGTAACAATCCTAAACTGTGTTTCTTTGTACTTTTAAGTCTTTTGTCCGCAGAATTTATTAACACCTTTCGTTCACAACAATATGTTGAACATAACTTAGGTATGTTATGAGAATATTATTATAAACCGACTGGTTTTGTAGGACTCTCTATCTATACCGGGCACGTGCTACGTAGGCGATAATAGCCATATATCTATGCGATATAAAACTATATTATGAAGTTTATAAAGCTATTATATGATATTATTATGGGGGACCACATACGTTGACGTTTCCAAATTTTTGTCAAGTTATTGTTAGTAAAAGTATTATGGTGTAGGAATCATAAGTATGATATTTATGTTATTCGATAGCAATCTTGGCATAAAAGATATTGATATTACAAAATTATGAGTTAAGCTATCGTGACTTTTTCATAGAGTCATTATTAGAATTTACATTTGAGTTATTTTATTGTGAGATTGTATTTTAATGTTTTGGAACGAGTATCTTATACAGAAAATTATTGTAATGTGCATTTATATGTTTATTAGATGAGTTGTTTAGTTACTAACATATAAAGTAAGCAGTATACAAGCTTTGCTTACTCGTATTTTGAGGCATGATATTAGTTATATTCGAATAATTTACTATTGTAATTAAATGTTGATGTGTTTGCAATTAGGTAGCTTTTATAAATTGTACGAGTACTTAACAATTGAAAGACTATATCAATCATCATAATAAAAGAACTTGTAGCGAGAGATAAAACATTTAATATTTTTTCAAATGTTACTCGTTGACCTACTACAATCAAATAAATAATGCATTGGTAGATTATGATAACACATCGACCGTATGGTTTCAAATAATATTCACTCAATATAATGTACATTAAAAACCACAATCATCTAGCTGTCAAGGAAATAATATATCTTGACATTTGTCAAACCGACCGACTCTACTAGAAATAGTAGCCATAAATTAATGTAGAGCTAATTTTATGTGAGAAAAAACGTTAAATAGGCATGAGAAGATATTTTAATTTCGCTAAAATCAAACAGAATTACCATTTTCGGAGGAAGTGATCGAAAATGATGGCGAGTGATGAGCGACGACTTCCGGGCTCGAAATGATCGGGTCATCTTTAGGGTTAGCACTTTTGATGCATTTGCTTAATGCCTAAGAGGTTTGATAGGCTTTGCGTGCCATGCTAACAGAGGGCGCTGTACGCTTTTACATTGCGCTAGCGTTATGGCTGAAAACAATATGAACCCGATATGGTAGACATTTGTTTTATTTAGGTAGGTAGTTTGTTTATGTAGGTCAGTGATAATCAACCTGTGGGTCGCGACCCCCTGGGGGGTCGCGAAGCCTCTATAGGGGGTCGCGAGCGGTCGTAAAAACTACCTCAGTAAAAAAACAGTAAAGTTTTAAAGCTAGATTTATCCGAAATCTAATTA